TCTCCTCTGCCTGATAGGAGCTCTGTGTCACATTCACTACAAATGTTCCGTTGAGGAGACAGAGAGGGAAAGTGAGGAGCAGACTAACTGAGGACTTGTATCAGTTTCTAAGATAATAAAGTGAAGGAGTAAAACTAACCACAGACACAGGAGGTCAGGTGTGAGGAGGCGCAGGAATGCAGCAGATCATCTTATCTCTCTCCGTGAGAGGAGACAGAGCTGAAGAGTCACAAACACATTTCCTGTTCAAAGATGTAATTAGAGCTTCACTGACTTCGAAGAAGTCACAATGTGTCAGTTTTGACTCCAACAGTGAGTGAGGACAGATTCAGAGGGACGATGAGATATCATGTGATGTATTTGATGAACATCGTCTCAGCAGATTTTAATGCTGACACTAACTGTTTACTGTCAGGTAGTTTCATCTACACTTTTCATCACCTGCTGTTCATATACATCTTCATTTTCCAAATAAACAGCAGATAAAACTGAGTAAGAACAGCAGGAGAAAGAGGAGAGAAGAGCTCAGAGCACGCACACACACGCACGGACACACGACCACACACGCACCACACACACACACACACACGCACACACACACACAACTCTTTAAGGTCGTGGTTTTTTGCGGAATTAAAACTCAGCGTTCAGGCGCTTATTGATGGAGCAGCAGCAGAAAGAACAAGTCAGGTTTGATGGACGCATCATTAGTCACGTTTGTTTCTCAGCGCACATCATAAGTGTCTGTATCTGCCTGCACCAACCACCTTTACACAGCACGGACATTTCAGAAAGACCTTTCTCACGGACGGTTTGTCTGACGGTCTGGATTATTTCCTACGTCACACTGATAATAATATTCACAAAATAACACCGAACAAGACTGAAGGGATCTGAATTGCTTTGGATGGGTATCGTTAGTGTTTTATCTTTAATTTTATCTTTTAATAATATTTTTTTTAAATAATTCAAATGGGATTATTAATGATCATTAAGACCAAAGAAAGCCACTGCACTGCCCCAAAGCTCCAGCGTTTAAATGAGAAAGAAAAGTCTCTAAAGCGTCTTTAAATCTACAGAGAGAAAAACTCTCTTCAGCTTCTTGTCTAATGTGCAGTTTCCTGAGATCTAACAAACACACTCACATCACACTAAATGTTCAATTATAACATGTGATCTTCACCCGCTGCATCAAGTTTCCTCCGGAACCAACACAACAACGTCAACTCTGTATTTAGACTTTACCTTCAGTCTCTTCTGTCATGGCGACGCAGAGAAAACAGCATTCAGTCAACGTGGCACCTCAGTGCGGAGTTCCCCTTTACACAGGGGGATATCGGTGAAATGCACCTCTCACTCTGATCATGACTGGTCCTCACACAGAGGGTGCGGTTTTTTTTACAATGTACTTGATGGTTGCCGTTTGAAACTCACTCACTTCCTGTTCCTGTGTCAGATGAGAACAGTTTTATAATTTGAATCACATTTCTCAGCTATTCTAGCTGTAGAGGAGTGCCTCGGGGCTGAGCACCCGTGGCACTAATAAAGTGCAGAGCTGGTGGATGGAGCTTTAAATGAAGCAACAGGAGGAGAAAGAAGAAGTGGAGGTGGACTCAGGGCTCAGAGTGGGACTGACAGTGTGAAGACGTCTTGACTCCAAATCTAATGTGATTTTAGTCAAATTTTACATTTGTCAGATCAAATGGAAACATTATTTACACTGAAATGAGTTGTTGATGCTGTAATGACTCAATTTAAACTCTAAACCAAAACAATATAAACATAATGTAACACAAAAATATGAATTTCATGTCACAGATAAATCTTTGACTCAGGTCCTGTCGTTATGATAGAGGAGAGGAGAAGTTCAATGATACTGAAACATACATGAAGAAAACACTTGAGGTAAAACAGGAAAGTGTCTGATGGTCTAAATGAGCACAAAGAGCTCCCTCTAGTGACCGTGCTCATTAACAACAGTGTTAACTCACAGCTTTTCTCTGGAGATTACAGCCAATGAAAAAGTGACAATAACAGGCAGCAAATAACAACAAGCTGTAACAGACAGGGAGAAAATCAGAATCAAAAATACAGTTTTACAGTTTTCAGACAGTAAATGGAAGAACATCAACATCAACACAAACAGTCGCATCACTTCCTGTGAGCTACTACAGGTTCATACAGGTTCATACCGTTCATACAGGTTTTTTTTTACAATGTACTTGATGGTTGCCGTTTGAAACTCACTCACTTCCTGTTCCTGTGTCAGATGAGAACAGTCACTGTTCATGGCATCAGTCTATCAGCCTCAGACTCCGTCCTCCTGCATGAAGCCTGTTCTACCTGACTACATGAACACTGAACCATTATCTAATGTTCACACACAAACACACACACACACACACACACACACACACCACACACACACCAAACACACACAACAGCACACACAACACACACACACACAAACACTCACACACACACACAACACAAACACACACCACACATACACACACACACACAAACCACACACAAACACACACACACACACACACAAACACCTCACACCACACACACACAAACACACACAAACACACACACACAAACACACACACACACACACACACCAAACACACACAAACACAACACACACACACACACAAACACATCACACACACTCACACACAAAACAACACACAAACACACACACACACACACACACACACACACATACACACACAATCAGGACCAGATTATATATAGATCAGAAATACTCAATACCTCAGATGACAAGAGTCAGTTCAGCTCAGTGGTCGACACTACTGACTTTGACACAGGAGATCGGGGGTTCGATTCCCGGTCAGGGATTTAGTCTGGACCCTTGTGGATATATGAACCCTTAAGCAAGGCACTTCTGCTACTGACCTTCCTCAGGACGAGTGAGACCACAAAGGGCTCGGATGTTGCCCAGGTTAATAAGCTCTGAGTCAGGTGTCGGGGAAACAGGTGAGAAATGAGCCACTGGAACAAAACATAGGTAACCCAAGAGAGAAGCTACATGATGTGGGATATATGGATGATCTGAAATATCCAAGCTGACAGAGAAACAGCTCCTAGACCAGCGTTCACACATCCACAACATGCTACGGCAAGAGGAGCCAGGACGACAGGTCAGAGAGGGAGATCATCCTCCTCTCAACAATCGAACACATAAGAATTACCTACCTCTCTGTCCCTGTCGCTCAGTAGTCTCTCTGTCGTTAAGCCGTGTGTGAAAGAAAAAATCACTGGATTGGATTGAGTCTGAAGTTGAGTCACAGTGGTGAAACTGAGGTACAGAACTGTCAGGTCAGAACTGCCTGGTGACACACTCTCTCTTTCTGAACCAGAGAAGCTTTTGATATGAGCTGTAACTGTCTGTGATGTGGTGCTTAGAATCACATGGATGCTTGCTCGTAGGAGAAAGTACAGACTGACTGAGGACTGATCTAAACTGACTCAGGTTATACTCAGGTCTTCCTTCTCATTATTATTTGACTATCTGTTTGTATATTTATCTATCTATATCTATTAAATTAATATTGTTGGACTTCTGTTATGTTGTCATTCTCATCTTTATTTCTGCTCCTGTGAAGCACCAGTATTAATAAAGTTTATTATTATTGACATCACACACACAAGAGTCAGAACAACTTCTCTCATAGAAATAGACATTTATTTAAAGTATATTCACATTATAAACTGAACATGAGGAGATTTTATTGTACATTGTAACAGTTTCCATCAGTAGTTAAGAGGATTAAGATAAAGTGTAGAGCTGGTGGATGGAGCTTTAAATGAAGCAACAGGAGGAGAAAGAAGAAGTGGAGGTGGACTCAGGGCTCAGAGTGGGACTGACAGTGTGAAGACGTCTTGACTGAGATTTTAGTCAAATTTTACATTTGTCAGATCAAATGGAAACATTATTTACACTGATATGAGTTGTTGATGCTGTAATGACTCAATTTAAACTCTACACCAAAACAATATAAACATAATGTAACACAAAAATTTGAATTTCATGTCACAGATAAACCTTTGACTCAGGTCCTGTCGTTATGATAGAGGAGAGGAGAAGTTCAATGATACTGAAACATACATGAAGAAAACACTTGAGGTAAAACAGGAAAGTGTCTGATGGTCTAAATGAGCACAAAGAGCTCCCTCTAGTGACCGTGCTCATTAACAACAGTGTTAACTCACAGCTAATAATTATAATTATAATAATTATTATTAATAATTAATAATTAAAAAATTAAACCAAATCTAACATCATGACCAATAAAAGGGAAACTTTGGACTACAAAAAAGTCTCCTAGCCTTTTAATTTACTTTCCAATATTTATTTTGTTTTTATTTATCTTTCTTCAATTTTTTTTAAAATGTATTTACAATTTTTGATTTTTAGCACTATATAGCCTGTTATCATTTCCACCATTGTTTACTGAATATTATTCTTTTCTGCAAATTAATTCCCTATTCCTCTATCTCCCTTTAAAAAACGTGCTGTGTAAAACTGACACTGCGTCGCCAGTTGGTGGCAGTAATGCGCCAATTTGTTGTTTTCCAACCGCCTGTAAACTTCACGGAAGAAGAAGAAAAAAAAATACAATTTTTGATTTTTAGCACTATATAGCCTGTTATCATTTCCACCATTGTTTACTGAATATTATTCTTTTCTGCAAATTAATTCCCTATTCCTCTATCTCCCTTTAAAAAACGTGCTGTGTAAAACTGACACTGCGTCGCCAGTTGGTGGCAGTAATGCGCCAATTTGTTGTTTTCCAACCGCCTGTAAACTTCACGGAAGAAGAAGAAAAAAAAAAGTAGAAGAAGAAGAAGAAGACGTCGCTCCTCCCCTGAAGTGGGCAGTAACCTGCTCGTCATCAACAGTTTTTGTTACTGCAGAGTCTCTTAGGACGTGTGTGTGTGTGTGAATGTGTGTGTGTCTGTGTGTGTGAGAGAGAAAGAGAGAAAGAGAGAGAGAGAAAGAGAGAGAGAGAGAGAGTGTGTGTTTGTAGTTTGTTCGTTTCTACCGTCTTTGCAAACTAACCGCCGTTTCTACCGGATACGTTATTCTTCGAAGTTAGACCTGTTTTTCTTCTTCGGACTTCTTTTTTTTGTGCGGTAAGCTCGAAGTGGAAATAAAAAGAAAGCAAGAACCAAAGAAGAAGAAGAAGAAGAAAAAGAAAAAGCACCCAAACCTGGAGGAGGAAAAGGGCGTTCATACTTCGAAGTAACCATGGAAGTTCCTGGTATGCAGGTAAGTGGAAAGGTGGACTCGAGGGTAGATTTGAAGGTGTTTTGTTGGCGTTTTTTATTTATTTTTATTTTTTAGCGACGACAGGAGCGAACCAAACCAGTTTGTCAACAGTGGAGGTGACATTGTGCAACTACAGGCCATTTCCTATGTGTTTTTAAAGCCGTTTCAAGGTGTGTATGCGATATAAAAACGTCCAGCACTCTTTTATTCAAATGAACTGTCTTCAGCCTCCGCGCACGGCGTCTCCATAATGTTGATTTAATAACGTACGGAACCGTAAACCCAGTTTAATCAACGTTTGAGTCGCTTCTCGCACTAGCATGGGTAGAGTGACTGTAGTCGAGAAGTTGGTTCTCCAAATTAAGTTCATAGCTACCTCATGCTGTTTACGTCTCTTATAAATGTGCCTGTAATGGTAATTCATTGTCTTTTAAAATGTGACTTTTCTACTCCATAGTGAGTTTATGGTGATCTTATGCTGTTTATTTTTCTCAGGATATCTATGTAATATTCTTATAGTGACTTATAATGCGGCTTTGCCACTCCTTAGAGAGTTTACACTGATCTTATGTTGTTTAAATCTCTTATAATATCCATTTAATGTTTCTATAGTGACTTATAAAGGGACTTACAGTGACTAAATGGTGTTTATTATCACTGAAGTATCCCTTTAAGATTCATTTAGTGACTTAAAATGTTACTTTTGTACTTTACACTTAAGATGTCCATGTCATACACCCCTATAGTAATTTAAATTGCAACTCATATACTGGGGTTTACAGTGAGCTTAAGTTGTTTATAATGTTCATATAATTACTTGTTATGCGACAGTGGTAGTGTAGAGTTTACAGAGATATTCTGGTGCTTGTGTCTCCTAAGCTGGTGCTCCATACAGACTTCACATTGTTTTTTTATCAACCATTATAATGCCGTAATATACCTACATTCACTTACTGTGTGTCTGTGGTGTCCTGTACTGAAGTTACAGTGACCTTGTGTCACTCTTAGATGCTTCAAATTTCTTTTTAAGGACTTTTTAATGTGATTTCATGACTGTAATTTTCCCACAGTGACTCACGGTGTCTTAGAGCTTATTTTAACATTTTAATAGCTCAGTATCTTTATCTACTTTATGATAGGGGCTGTAATAGGACTGCACTCACACTAAGTTCTAGGTGTGTCCGTGCCTCTGTGATATCCCTACATTACTTCTTCAGTGGCCTATATTGTGTCTATGTTGCTCGGTAGTGACTTTGCATTGTTTATGATCTTTTATTGGAGGTGTTACTGCGGGACATTCTGCGCCACATACCTGGTTTAACATTAGATTTATACAATGGCTCACAGGATTACACTTGTTGTGGTTTATTGAAGGCAAATGAGTAGATGTGCTGCTCTACTGCCACTTAACGAGGTGTGTGAGGTGAGTTATAAGCCTGTTAAACCTTTGCGTACGGCCTCTTGTTTGGCCGGCTCTCAGGTGTGTCTACCTGTGGGACTGGCTGCCTGGCTGTCAGCTCTCTCGCTCTGCCGGCTCTGTTTGTCCCAGGTGGGCGGGAGGGGAAGTGGTGTTACAGGCTGGTTAAAACAACACACACCTGACGCCCAGCAGCTGCAGCGTCGAGGCGGACAGGAACGTCTGTGTTGTACCCGCCAAAGAGATTGATGATACACAATGGGTGTTGTGTAACGCTGAAAAACAGTATTCCAGTTTAGACTAAGGCTGCAACTAATGATTATTTTCATTATTGATTCATGTGCAGACTATGAAAGTTAAAAGATTGTCCAAAAGATTTTACAGAGCTGAAAGTGACATCTTGTAATGTCTGACTTTGTGCAACCAAAACTCTGCAAATATTCAGTTTTCAGTGAGATGTGTCACAGAAAAGCTGCAAATCTGCTCTTTTAAGGGTCTGAAATCTGCAAATATTTGTAATTCTTTTAATCAAAATAATTGCAGATTGTTCAGTTCAGTTATTTGGATGTTAACGACTTAATCACATCGGTTTCTGGTAACTTAAAGCTGCTACAGTAAATATTTTTATGCTAACAATGACCGTATAATGCGACGTAACACGGTGCGCTCGTGCGTAGGAATACGTTAGTTCGTAACGTCGAATAACCCGAACTTTTCCTTTAATAGATCCATGAAAGAAAGACAGGAAAGGTCGTCGAGGGAAACAAATTGTTGCGACCGCGGACGTCACAGTTACAGATCTTTGACCCACCGGGACGCCTCACTTTTTCCTTTTTCTCATCAATAGACGACATTGTGCTGTTGTGAAATCCCAACACTTCAGAAAATGTTTTCGATAGTGTGATTAACATCAGGTGGCTGACGGTTTTGTGGGTTATTGGCTCATCACAAGCTGTATTCTGGTGCCCACATCCTTTTCAGAGGAAAGACAAAACATCACATATAAAAGCAGAAAAATTAGCCTGATGTCATTTTGAAATTGTGTAATCATTACCGAAGCTGCTCAGCTGACTCTGTTATTTACAAAGCTTTCGCAGTCTGTTAATAATGCGCTTCATTGTTCAGCTGTAACATTTGCTTCCTTGGGCATATGTCTTTTTACGAGGTCTCTCAGGATAAAACACAGTGAATTATTGCAGAAGCCTGAAATAGACCAACTGTTTGACAGAAGACACTATTACACTTTTTAATGAACATAAACATTAAATGATCTGCCCCCTTGAAAACGATCCACAGATGAACTAATGATTGTTTTCATCGTCCGTTAATTAATGAAATATCAGATATTTGTGTAATTTCTGCTTTGAAAGTGACTAAGACGATGAAAGTCACCGTACACTACACAGCGACGGACAAAATATTTAATCATTCAATCGATTTGACTGTCCGCGTTCTAAATGAATTGATCACGGGATTCATTTTGATCTGTTTTATTCCTCTCATTCCGTAATCTAAAAGACTGTGTCGCAGCGTCGGGACATAAACAAAGCCGTGAAGAGGTTGTAAGCTCCGTGAACCAGTATCCCAGCCTCAGATACCCACACTAATATCTAGTGAGGTTCCATTGTTTTCTACTGTTTCACGTTTGCTGGCTTCAGCTTCTCGGATATGAGGATTTGTTTTCTCTTGTTTTTTTGGTGAAATATCTCAAGAACAATTGGATGTATTGTTATGAAATTTATTATAGACATTCGCGGGATCCTCAAGATGAATTGCAGTAACTTTGGTGAGCCCTTGACTTTTCTGCTTTAGCTGATACGATGTGATATTTGTCATCTGTGTCTGCAGTGACGCTCCTGTTTGTCCTGCCTGTTGGGGCTAGTTCATCACAGATGACTCAGTGTCTACAGCTGATACGAGGCAGCGTGGATTTCAGTTTTATTGTTTAATTGATTGATGATGTGCTAGTTGTTTATGGGAAACCCTTAGAGTGATTCAACATGCTCAGCTACAAGGAAACACATTTTTATTGCCGCTTTTGAAACGACTGTTTGGTTAACTTTCAGTAACGTGGGTGCCAGCGGAGAGTTTTAGTGTCCTGTTATGGTTTGTTGCTGTTTCACTGAGACTAATGCAGGTTAATGGTTTTCTCTGTTGTTGCTGTGAGAAGAGGAGGAAGTGTGCTCTGATTAAGTTTGGTTAATTAACAAACCTTGAATTACTGATACGAGTTTAACAGGGAAAAAGACATCTCCATGATGGAGAATCAAATATCTTTGGGTTTTTAACTGTTGCTCAGACAAAACGAGACAAATTAAAAGTCCACCTTTATTTTCTGATAGTTAACATACAAATGAGCTAACAATTAATCAAGAAAATGATTGACAGATTAAAGAAAAGAAGCCCTATTTTTCACATTCGCAGACATGCATGCGAAAGGAAAATATTCAAACCCAAAGACACCATTTTGATTTACACTTTAGATTTCTTGTTTATCATTTTATCAGTGGTGGATCATTTATATTAGAAACAGGAACAACAATACCACGCTGTAAAAATGGATAAAGTAGCATCACACGTGTCCAGTTCTTGAGTAGATGAACCTAAACGCAACATCAGATGCTGCAGATGATCACATTTTTCCAAAATACAGCCTGTTACATTTGGTGTATTTTTAAAACTTTGGTGTTTTGTCTTGGATATATGTTCAGTTTATAATGACAGACCCGCTACGGTTTTAAGGGATTAAGGGCAAAGTTTCATAGTAGGAGTTAGTTTAGGCCTAAAAAAAAAAAAAACAGACCTTGAGTAGAGGAGAGTTCAAACTTCTCCGTGCTGAAGCCTCTTCAAGCGAGGCGCTGGATCCCTACTGGCTTCAGAGTTGATGTTTTCAGCCGACCTCTGACCCTGCTCCATGAAGAAAAACAGAGAAGAGAGGACTTCCTGTCTCTCTGGTGAACTGTAACTCTTTACGGGGGTCGGCTCATGAGTTTCAGCCAAACGTTCCCGCGCTCTCGTGTCGAACCCTTCCCGTACAGTACAGTATATTACAGGTTGTCTGTGGCGTGGCTGACATTGCGGGGAAGCCATCTGCAGGCGTGTCCTCAGAGATGAGCCTGATCAAACACCAGGGAGTGTCCTCCTCCTCCTCCTCCTCCTCCTCCTCTTCTTCTTCTACTCTTTGTAATCTCCACGACTGCACCTTTCTGAGAACTCCAGTTCTCAGGCGTCCCGTCGTCACATAATCACTGCCTCCACCGGCCTGACACTCTGTGTGTGTGTGTGTGTGTGTGTGTGTGTGTGTGTGTGTGTGTGTGTGTGTTTGTGTTTTGTTTGTGTGTTTCTGGGTGAGAAATGATCGGCAGCCAGCAGCTCAGACGCTTGTGAGTTTTGATTCTGGAGGGTGAGTCAGTTTTTCTGGGGGTGTGAATCATAGCAGAACATTTCTTACTCTCCCCTGTTTCTGTATTCTGGTTTGTTTACATTCACATCCTCCTCGACCACAGCTTGTAAACAAGAGTGTGTCATTATAGTCGAATAAAATAAAGTTTGTTATTTAAAGTTAGAGCAGCAATGATGAGTC